CACGCTGTGATGATACAGCCCTGTGTCTGGGGACGTTTTCATGTTGTGGGCTGCAGAGGTAGCGGGAGGCTGCCTAGCTGGAGGGAGAGTGGCCACACTACGCAGTAACAGTGGGCCGGCTGTGTCCACACTGAGGGTATGTCTACACGGGAAACTTCAACTTAGCGCTTTGAAGTGCAAGTGTGGCGCTCTCCCAGCGCTCCTGGTAATCCAGCTCCACGAGGGGATTAGCTCCCAGCGCTCTGAGCCTGTCTACGCTAGTGTTTTAAAGCGCTCAGACTTGCAGTGCGCAGGGGGGGGTGATTTTTCACCCCCCTGAGCTAGCAAGTTAGAGCGCTATAAAATGTCAGGGTAGACAAGCCCTGACACTCGTGTTGGGCGCTAGGCTGTATCTGTGGCTCTTTGCGCTGCAGAAAGTTGAGCTGCTCTTTGCATTCTTTCTCAGTGAATTGTCCTTTCCGGGCACATGTGGCGGAATTGTGGGATAGCTTTGGAGGACTAGCCTGGGTTGCAGTGTGGTCATGTTAGCAGCGGATGCGCTGTATTCTCGAGTGTTCCCTCGTCCCTGGGAGGGACCAGCCGGAGTGGGGTAACAGCACCAGGCGCTGGAGGGAAGGGGATGAGTGTGTGGACGGGACTCGAGCTAGACTAGAGGCAGCACTCGTGTGAACTCTGCAGGGACGACAAGCCCCAAGACAGATCTTCTCAGAGGCTGCTTCCTTCCCCGGGCGGCTCCTTTGCTTGGCCACATGAATGAGAAGCGATACTAGAGCTGTGCTGGTTTGCTTCCAGGGACGTGGACTGATGTTTCCTGATTTCCTTCCCCTACCCTTCAATCCTGTAATCTCTCCTCCCGCGTCCGTGCCACGGCTCTGATTTGGGGCCCCGCCGGCAGAGGCGAGTCTGGCTGAGTTTTGGCCCCGGAGCAGAGAGGTGATGCACTGGCATGGGCAGCGTCGGGCTTGCCTGGGCCTGTTAGAGGTTCCTGGGCAGGGCAGCGTGCCCATGGCGTGCTCAGGAGTGCCTGGTGGAACCCTGGACTGTGATCGTGGCGGTACCAGCCATTGTTCCACCCCCGGCACTGTGGGTTCGTGGCTAAGGCGGATGCTCATCTGCTCCTGGCTGTCCTGCCTGGGGCTGGGTGCGGCTCCCCGCCTCTTGTGGCTGTCATTTGCATGGAGGGTGGAGCCTGTGGGGGGGGGCTCGGGTTGTGTGCTGGGGGCTCCCTGCTGCCATCCAGGGAATGCTTGGAGCCTCGGTGTGCTACGGGATGAGCAGGCCAGGCCATGTCACAGCTGGTCCCTCGCAGGAATCCCTGTGATGATGCAGTGAGCTTGGCAAAGAAACAGCTGCTGCGCCCCTCCCCAGAAGTGGCTGCATTTCAGCGCTGGGGTGAGGATCCCTGTATGGTTGCTGGGACAGATTTCCTGTTCTTTTCATGCTATACAAAAGGACCGGAGGTTGACGGCAAACCTCTAGCCGGCCCTCTCAACCAGTGGGGGAAATCCCTCCCCTCCCCTCCCCTCTCTGCAGCCCCTTGTCTTTGGGGCATGCCATGGTGAGGAAGAGGCAATCCCTGGCTGGCACCCATGCTGCACTAGTTTGTGCCTGGGGCTGGGAAGAGAATCAGTTGGCCCGTGACCAGCTCCTCCCTACCACATACGTCCCTCACCCTCGTACTGCCTCTGGGCTGCCTGGGATGTGTGGGCGCTGGCAGGGCTCCCACGGAAGCTCTGTTCTTGGACCAAAGTGAGGCCATGTAATTGAAGCCTGGGAGAGCTCTCACCCATGCAGAGCTGGGAAAGGGGCCTGAACTTTCCAGGAGCGTGGGGGTGGGGGTTGCGGATGAGCCCATCCCTACTGGAGGGGGCACGGCCATTGAAAGGCCTGGGGCGGGCAGGAGGCCCGGCGCATGGCTCTGAGCCGAGTGCTGTGTGGTTTCTATGCTACCCTCCTTGAGGGTTTCTGTAGCACCCATCGCCACGGCAACCGAGTGCTTCCTGGGGAAACTGAGTCTTATGTTGGCAGGTCCCTGTGGGAGGGGGTGTGTGTGTGTCGTCCTCTTCTCCTTGCCTTGGGTATGGGGGCCCTGCTGGACGGAGCTGGGTCCTGACCCACAGCTGGCTTTGCAGAGGACAGAGGCTGTGAACTGGCTGTGGAGGTGTGGGGCAGCTGTTAGATGCAGGAGGGTGGCTGGCTGCTTGCTGTGCTCCAGGAGGTGGGTTATCCAATCCAGAGGTACTCTTTCCCCCCCCCCCTTGAATCCCCACTTCCCTGCTTTTTTAGGCAGCTCCCTGAGTCCCCAGCTGAGATCAGGGCCCTGTCACTGCATGGACACCACCTTTGCTCCCAAGAGTTCCCAGTCCGGCTAGACCAAGGGTGGGAGGGGAAACTGAGGCACGGAGAGGGGAGAGACTTGTCCAAGGCCACCCGGCAGAATGTCAGGAACAACCCAGGTGTCCTGGGGCAGTGACCTAACTGCTGGGCCAGGCTGCCACCTCTGACCATGCCGAGCACTCGTGCCGTGAGCCTTCGCTGCTGTGCTTTGCACCAGGGTCATTGTGGGGAAGCTGCGTCTCCTTCGGGCTCTCTGGAGCAGATGGGGTTAAACAGGTTGTTTCCAGTCAGGATCCCTGTGCTGGGAAATCCCCTCCCCTGCCCGGCAAAGCGGCTTAGGTGTCTCTACTGGGCATTGATTAGTGCCAGGCGGATGCGCCGGCCGGCTGGCTCCCTTGGCGGACGGCCCTGCCGGACTAGGGGCTGCTCCCACTGGAGCCAAGGCCAGAGCCATGAGCACGTTCCCACATGGCCGCTCTGTGACCACTTGTCCTTAGGGAGCCAGAGGAGCGTTCCCCAGCCCCAGCCGGTCTGACCGGTTCCTTTGCCCCAGGGATCTCCCTCTCCACGGGAGAGCTCTGCACGCTCCAATGCCCGGGCCCACGCCCCACATCCAGGCTCTGACCTCTCACACATGCCAGCCCCCCACCAGGATGCAGGGGCTCTGCTTATCCGCCTCTGGCGTGGGCACTTGCTGTCCTCCCTGGCTGGCACCTGGAGCTCCCTGGCTATGTTCATATCGAGCCCTGCCATGCATGTGGAGGGATGAGTCTAGCTAATGGTCTCCAGGTCCCTAGGCGGGGAGGCGATTTCTACTAGCCGGGGGCTCTTTCCTCTAGCCCCCTGGAGCTGAAGTGACAAATCCAGACAGGAGATAAGGGACCCGTGTTTAACAGGGAGGGAAATTAGCCATCGGATCAGCTGACCCAGGCACAGACGAGTCTCCGGCACTTGGCGCCTGTAAATCCAGGCGGGATTGTGTCTCTACAGCTCTGCTTCGGCTCCGCCCCGAGTTCTGCGCTGGCCGCAGGGATCGCAGGGGAATGCTGGCTGGTTCTACAGCTGGGCAGGCTGGATGGTCCGATGGAGCCTGCTGGCTTGCAAAGGCTTAGATTCTCCCCTCTGCCTTAGAGCTGCTGAAAAATGTAGCCGGTTGTTTTACTGCCCCTTTGAGAGGATTGCCCCTCCTCCAGTATCCCCAGCCTCGGGCATTCAGAAATCAGGAGCCTAGCTTGAAAATCAGGAGATCCTTAGAAATGGGGGGGGCGGGGTTCTTGTTCTGCTGAGTGGAGCCTTTCAAACAGAAATCCAAGGTTCTCGCAGCCTCCTCTGACTCCGGGAGCTGGGGATTTAAGGAAGGCACCATGGAGGTGCCACCACCTAGCGCCAGGCGTGGGATACAATCCTGGGAGCTGGCAGACTCCCAAATGTTGCTGAACCACACTGTGGCTATCTATGCCAAGAAACTGTGGCCGTGACACCCCCTTTCCTGGAGAGGGGGGCCCCCCTCGGTGCCGGGAAGGGCTTCTGTTTGCTTGGGAAAGCTTTGCCAAATGTCACCTCTGCCTCTGTCCCTGGCAGTGCACCAGGTGTCTGGGGCACATGGGGAACCCCCCCAGCTGTGTTCTGCTGTGGGTGGCCCTGTGGTAGCTGCGCTCGCCCCAGTTCCAAAGGGTCACCAGGGCTCTGGCCTGGCACAGCTCACTTGAAGAGTCCCCTCTGCGCAGCAGCTCTGAGTCCTTGGTCCATTTGAGGGTGGTGGGGTCGTGTGCCAGGGACCCCTGCTGCAGCGGGCACTTGCTGCCTGCGACGGGTGTGCTGTGCGCTGGGTCCTCGGGGGTGTGTGTGCGCGGGCTGCAGGCCGCCTTGCTTTGACAGGGGGAGCGGAGGTCGGGACCCCCCAGCTGGGTGAGCAGCTTGGCTGGTGCATATGGTGGCCCTGAGGGTCGAGAGTCTGGGCTGCACCTGGCATGACACGGGGGAACAGGCCGCATCTTGGCCGGTTCTGCAGGTGTGACTGTAATACCGTTCCGGAGCTGCTGGGCTATGCTCGGTTATTGCAAGCCATGGCCTGAGAGTGTGGCAGCAGGGCTGCGACCCCCCTGGGGAAGTTAACGTGCTCCCTATAAGCCGCTCGGATCCTGAGATGGGTCGGAAACAGGCCCCCAGATCCCCGAACCCCCAACTGTCCCCCTATACGCTTGCAGGGTCAGCGCAGCCCTTCTCCCTCCTGGAGGGGTCAATGGGCGTCCGGTGCCGCTTTCCTTGAGGCTGGCCCTCCTGCCTTTCCTATGTGCTGTGTCCAGGCAGCCCGGTCTGGAATCGCTCCCCGCCCCCATGGGTCCCCTGGCGGCTGCCCTCCGCCCCAGAGCTGGTTGCATTTCAGGGCTGCTGAGGGTATGTCGGGGGGGGGAGGAGCTGTAGGGACGTGCTTGCTGAGTCCCTTCGTGGTCTGAGCGCAGGTGGGCAAGGCTGGTGGGCTCTGGTTCAGGCCCAGCCCCCACTGTGCACGGCTGGTGGCCCTAGCAGGTGAGTTCCCCGTGGGCGTGGCCAGACATGCCGCTCCTTCCTGTGGAGGAGCGGCTCCAGGTGAGGTCTGACGACAGCAGCCTCCGCGCCCTGCCCCGCTCGCTCTCGGGTCGCTCCCAGGAAGGCAGTGCGGGCTCTCTTCCCCCCCCCCCCCGCCCCAGTCCCCTGGCCCAACCCCACATGCTGGGACGGGGCATGTTCATCTGGGAGGAGATGATCAGCCTGCCCTGGCTCCCTGTCTGCATCTCCAAGCTCTGGGGTAAGCGGGGGAGGCCGAGACCCTGGGTCTGGACCTGGGGTGCGGCCCTCGGGGAGGGAAGCCGTGGGAGTGCGGGGGAGATAGCAGGCACAGCGGTGGGGTGTCGCTGGCTGCCAAAGGGAGCCTGAATGTTGCAGGCCTGCAGCCACACGCCTCCCTGCCCTGCCCAGCCCAGCGGTTGGGGGCTGGGGGGGAGGGAAGGGAGGGTGTGATCCTGGTTACACATGCTGCAAAGAATGCAGAGCCCTGCTGGGTGGGGGAGGGCATGGCTAAGTGCTGTGGG